ATAAACACAAGTCCAGACATCTTCAGGTTGCCAAGTTTGGGAAACACTGGTTGAGGGTTCCAACTATTAGATAAACCCAGACCGTGAATGATTAAGGATAGTAAAGATATTAATCTTTAAAGGATGCCACCCGTCACTTGGGACTGGAGCTTACCGGTCCTTTGGGACCAGCCTACCTTACAGGGCTGGTGTGAACATGGGGGGGAATAACACTAGATGACACACAAACACGCACAGGCCGCTGCTTTGCACTTAGATGCAAACCAGAACTGGAACACAACAAAGGAATGACGCCGTAAGTGGAATATTATGGACTGCCACAAAACCCCGCCCACGAACCTCCAACTCAGTAACTCGGAGAGGACGAAAGGCGACTTCTCCTTTTATAGGCTTCACGCTCACGAAGCCCCGCCCACCCGGGTGAGTGACAGATGATCCGCCCAAGTCTGCGCTCCACGCGGGGATCCTCTCGTCCAATTAACTAGGCCGGGGGTGGGGGGCGGAGCGAAGGAGGAGGGGCGTACCAACGCGACGAGGAGGAAGGGGGAGAGGCGAAGATTCCATGGCGGCTAGTTACCCGTATGGACAGGTGAGGCGGCGGGTGCGCGCGCGCGCGGTACGGGCGAAAAAAGGCGTCAAGCTCATCCCACCGCGGTGGCTGACGGGAGCCCCCGTTACTGAGGCGACGTTCAGTGGGCTCTCTCTTGGAGGGGCTGGAAGTTTCCTAGGCAACTGGAAACGGGGGCGGGGGAGTGCGGGCAGGATAGTCCAGACAAGAAGGCGAGTCAGGCTTCTCAGTGACGTCATGGCCAGGCCAATGGCGTAGTGATGTCATATGTGGGAGCTGAGGAAGGGATGGGGATGGAAGGGATGGAAGGAAACTCCCTAGAGGAGAGTTGGGCAGTGTTCACGCTGGCTGAGGAATTCTGGGAGTTGAAGTCCATCCATGCTGGCTGGGGAATTCTGGGAGTTGAAGTCCACCCATGGTAAGGTTGCTGAGGTTGCGAAACCCTGACTAAGCCTCTTGGGCGGACCAGGCATTAGTTAATGCTCAGGGTGTTGCGCAAGCGCAGAAAGTTGGTTATTTCAGCAAGCGAGTGAGACAGGTTGTGTGAGTGCCACCCTTGGCAGTTCTTCTGCAGGGTGACGGGCCTCCGTATGCCGCCTCTTCTCCCCATTCTGGATGGCTCACAATAAGCACAATGAAACAACTATGAAGCACTTATAAAACCAGACCCTTAAAATGGGTAAGCGTGAGGGGTTTAGCCGCCTGGAGGCTCTTCTGACCTGGAGGCACGTTGGCTGCAACCTGCCGCCGCAGAAGCACATTTACTCCTTTTTCCATTTTACACTTGTCGCGTTTTCTTATTTTTCATTTTCACGTTGTATTATTATATCGACGTTTTCAGCGGTGCTCGCCGCCCAGAGTTGCTTATGCAAGTTGGACAGGAGTATAAATTGAACTGAATTACATAAATAGATGCATAAAATATTCCGGGCGGTCTGACTCTCACATCAGGACCCTGGGGAAAGCAGTGGCTGCAGCTGCAAGGTAAGAGGAAGGTTGTGACCGGCAGAGCTGCTCTTGCAGAGATGCGAGAAGCGCGTTCACGAAAATCCACCTCCCGCGCAGCTCTGCCTCCTTTCTGCCTCTGCTCAGCCAGTGTCGTCTGCTCCATCCCCATGTCAGAAACCTGGCCTTCACGGGCATGTGGCAACGAAATCAGATTTTTTTAAAACTCTGATCTACGTACAATGCTAAGGCGTATGTGACTAAAGCCCAGATTCATGCTCTGCACTAAGCCAGGATCACGTGGCTTAGTGCAATATGTGAATCCAGCCTTATTTGACCCCCTCTGGCATCCATGGTGGAGATTTTGTCTTCTGGCACTCTTGGGAAAGTCTTTCCTAATGACATTCCGCTCCGAGTACAACATGGATTCAGATTTCTTCCTTGAACACCTGGACGTGGTGGCCAAATTATTAACTGAGTCATCCACTCTGCCAGGCAATTGAGTTATCCCTGTGGGCCGGCAGTGCATGACTACAAATCACTCAGCCGGACGGCAAGCACCGTTTTCTGAGGTATCACCACAAAGGAGATGGGAGGCTTCGTTTTTTCATTGCACCAAGTGGGGAAAATCTACAGGGGCCAAAGCCACCGTGGATAGATTCTGGAGGGGGGTTCCCATCTTTCCCTCTGCCCCTTTTTCACTTCACCCCCGTACCCTGGGTTGTGGGGGTATAAATAAGGAAACTGATGGAGCAACTAGAGAAGCCCCATTTTTTCAGAGATACATTCAGACTTCATGTCTGTCTTGTAAGCAGGAAGGAATAGTCTTCCTTCCTCCTCCTCCTCCCCAATAGGAGAGAACAGTTAACCAAGCAGAGTTAGTTTAGCCTTGGGGTTGTTAAAGAGCTAAGATAAACCTCCTCCTCTAGGTTAGTTGTGGGGTTTAATTAACTGGTATTTTCACAACACATTAAACTCATGCTCTCAGACCTAGTTCAGCATGTTGTAGGAACAAAACCTCTAAGCCTTGTGGGACAGGAAAAGCTCTTTGTTATTTAGTGAAGCTTAAATTCATGGTTGCTGGGAGTCAAACTCAGTGTCAAGGAGATTTTATTTTAAATACACATTACCATAGAAAGAATACTGTATATCATCCTGCATTTGTCAACCTGGCAGCCAGGCTAAAGATTGAACTTGACATCTTCTGCATGTGAAATGTCTGTTTTACGGCTGCACTTGTATTTTCCTACCCAAAAGAATAGCTTCCCTTTTCTCCAATAGTAAGAAGAGTTGAAGAATTCATCAGCCCCCCACCCCCAAAATATGGTGCTTAAGCTCCACTTGCCCTGATAAATTGATGAGTTTATTTATTTATTTATTTATTTTTATTTATTTATTATTAAATTTATATGCTGCCCATCTCCCCCAGAGGGTGACTCTGGGCAGCTT